ATATATATATATATATTTATTTATACTTGACTGTAGAGAAGTAAGTTTAAAGTTTGCGAAGAGCTATTTAAAATGATAGCTTACATTCTTTTTTTAAAGAATGTAAGCTATCATTTTAAATAGCTCTTTGCAAACTTTAAAATGATAGCTTACATTCTTTTTTTTAAAATGGGATTCTGTGAAAAGGTCATGATCAACGAATATCTTACTTATTGTAGATAAATTATTTTAGAGGCCGTTCAAAGAGCTAATTCTGACCAGATTAATGAGCTAATGGCTAGTCCAGGGGGACCAGGACCAAAGCTGCTGACATACAGTATATGATTTTTTCTGCTGGAAGTGCCCCAGGCAGCCTCCTCCTCCTCCTCCTCCTCCTACTACTACTACTACTATGACTGCTACTATTACTTAAAGCTACTTGTTCAGTGTTGTGTAAACTATGTATCTACCACTGTGTGTATAAACCAGGGTAAATCTAAATATCTGGAGGTTATTAGTGAAGAATTAGAGACTCATGCCACAGTCTACGGGCCTCCAGGACACGCCTCCAGTCTACCCAGTTTCATCAGAAACCACGGACTCCTGTCTCAGGAGGACTTTCTGCAACTTCTCCAAAGAACAAAGGTCAGATAATCACAAACTATTACAAATAAAATCTTTGGCAAACAGCAGATCTTCCTTAGATTGTTTTTCTTTTCAGGTTTTTGTAGGTCTTGGGTTCCCCTACGAGGGTCCGGCTCCTATCGAGGCCATAGCTCTGGGTTGCGTTTTCCTTCAGCCACAGTTTGACCCCCCACACTCATCAGAAAACAGTGACTTCTACAAGGGCAAGCCCACCACGAGACAGGTGGAAAGTTCAAACCTGCGTTGTTGGTCTTCTTGCATTTCTAATTAGCTTTTAGGTGTACTTACTGAAACGTTGTTGACATCAGATCACCTCACAGCACCCGTATGCTGAGCAGTTCATTGGTAAACCCTACGTGTGGACTGTGGATGTGACCAACAGGACTGCAGTTCAGCAGGCTCTCAGGACTATTTTAAGCACGGAGGTAACTGGATTTCCTGAACATAAACTTCCAGCCACAGTAGCATCGAGTGAAGCGTGTGTGTGCTTTTGCAGGTGAAGCCTTTCACGCCTCAGGAGTTCACATGTGGGGGAATGCTGGAGCGGCTTCACGGTTACATCACTCAGCAGGTACAGAAACATGTCCTATGATGGATGCTGTGTGTACATCGAGTGTAAAAATGTAAAAAAGCATTTGTTTATTCAACTCAGTTTTTCTACAACTGTCTTTTCTCCTGAATCACGAATTGCTCAAGAACTTCTGCAGTAAATCTGTCCCTACTTGGCCTCCAGAAAGTGCTCTAAGGGGGCACCTGGGTCCACTGGGTCAGTCGTGTGTGAGTGTGTGTCAGCGCTCCGCTTTGTTGTGTGAGCCCGCTCTCTTTCATCACCTGAACACACCTGCAGCGTTTACCAGGTGAGAACAGGGACATGTTACGTTACAGCAGGGTTGCAATGATTTTCACAGAGGGCCTTTTAAATTTGTTTATTTTCTTACATTGAATCATACATTTAAAGTTTACTGTTGGTRTAAAAACTATTTTCATGTTAAATTAAGTCATAAATAAATAAACACATAAAAAAACATTTTGATGGGCCGGCCCGGACGGAAGTCACAGGCCTTGAGTTTGACATGTGCGTTAGAGTAAACAAAAAGTCTAGATCCTTCCTCTAGTGTTTAACTGTGCTTTATAATTAAGTTCATGCAAACTTGTCTGTGATCACAGATATGTTCAATTATCATAAAATGAAAACAAATATAAATGTAGGAGTTAATAGAGGAGAGAGTACCTGGGGAAGAGGATTCATAGAACAACATGAAAGCTAAATAGTCACATACCCAGAGGTGTAACTAAATACATTTACTTTGTTACAGTACTATTTTTGAGGATTTGTAATTTTATCAAGTTTTTTTTCATAACATCAACTTTATTTCATTACATTCAAAATATAAAAAACTGTTATGGTAAGAAACTTGTGCCAACAAAAATGGGATTTGAATTGTTAATCTAATCAATTCAAACTCAATACACATATTCAATCTAGAATCTGAATTTGCATAATTCACAATTTGCATAATTGAATGCATTGGTTTGATTTCTAAAATCCTGTTTCTTTTTTTCGTTGTTTATTTATTTTTTTCACACATCCAGGTCCTTGAGAAAACCAGAGTAATCAAACACAGATCGACAGATTTTTGTTCATAACAGTGGAAATTCCTTCATAGGTGTTCAGTCTAAAGACAGCAGTAATCAGCGTTTCCAGACGTACAATAATTGTCACATATGTACAATAAACAACTCAGAAATCCCATAATGTTTGATAATTTGACCGTTTCAATGCATGGCTGAGTTACCACACGGATGTCTGACATAAGAGAGAAGTGGCAGATTACGGAACTGTGTTGCATATTTAGGGACTTTCTCGCTATATTTAGCGAGTTTTCAGACCACTCAAGTGAATGTTTTTTTTAAAGCAACAAGTGAAAATCCACTTAGGTGAACGTAGCTCTCTGATGAGCAGCTGGTGCTGCTGTGAGCACCTCCCCGACAGGCAGCTTAGTGCTCAGGCTGCCTCCCTCCCAGCTGCCCGTTCAGACTCTGAATCATGCCTGTGCAACGCTCCTGTTGACTGATCCACAATGGGATGTAAACATTTTTTATTGGTTCAATTATTCACTGCAATAAAATAATTTTGAGTGCTTCTATTTGATCATTTTTGGTGGATTGCATCCACACGGTTGTATTACAGCTTCTTTGAGACAGAATGCCTATATTTCTGTAAAGGAAGTTTTCAGCTTGGTTAAATAAATTCAACATATCATTTCTCAGAGTGTAAGTACYGTTGATTTTACGTTCCTGATTATTGTGATCAGTTTTATGACTTTTATTATCAGTAAAATTAAATTTTCCCAAAGGTATTTTATTTTACTTATTTCATTTTTTTCAAGTACTTCTCTGCAGATAGCTAATAGCTAAATTTCCCACTGACTCCCATCTTGTAGGCTCGGACTGGACTGCTCCAGCACGGTGCAGGACGTCAACCATCTGTTTCCATCCTACAACCCGTGGGGTCGTCACTGTGGCCTTCAGCAGGAGCCGCTGCTGTTCAGCTGTGCTGGATCTGACCCTTCACATCGCAGACTGTGTCCCTGCAGAGCTCACCTATCTGCACAGATGCCAGTAGAACCAGACTGCATTTGAGCGGGACAGTGGAATAACTCAGGAAAAAAATTAAAAAATTTTAAAAAAATGGCACCAAAGAGTCGTTGTCGTGATGCACTGTGGACAGGCAAAGGGAGCCAACAGTTCTTCCAAAACTTGTCTGTTGGTTTTATTTATAATTATTACATATAGAAACTGAAATATGGTTGAGTAAAAAATTGTTTATAGACTTAATTTGTCCAAAGCCACCACAGAAACACTCAGGAAGCAGCTGTGAATTGTTAAAAATAGTGATTTTTTTGAGCCAGCTTTTGTACAGTATCTGATAAAGATGCATTTTATGAGTAATTAAAAGTGTTCAAATGAAAATGTTACTTTTTGTAGTGTCTTTTTCTACTTGTAGTACCCACACTAATAATATGCATCGCTATTATGCTAAATAATTAAGCAATTATTCATTCACATGGGTCAGCATTTCAAGCGATTGCTGGTCCAGTTTCTCAGCGCCTGTCTGGCTGCAGAGATTAGGCTTGGCCTCAAAGGAGCGAGGGTGACAGCCTAAGTGATGAGGCTCATTATCTGAGTGAATCATGGATAACCTCTGGATACCTTTGGGAAGTTATAGCCTCACGAACATGATTACATTGTCATATAAACCACCAGCTTCCAACCATGTGTGACTTTTAAAAAGCCCCTAAACTCTGGTTAAACCCGTGCCCCCCTGCAAATCATAGCAGAAACTGACTGTTTGTCTTTCCAAAAACACGTTCCCTCTCAGAAACAGTCAAACAAAACAGAACTAATCCTGTTTGCTTAAGTTATTGAGCTGGAAATGACATAGTAAAAAATGATTTGGATAACAAATGACTTATTTTGTCCAAAGATCCTGTTTTTGTACAAGAGTTTGACCTGCAGCTCTCTTAAAAGGGTAGTCTGATCATTTTAAAGTGATGGTCTGTCAAATAGTTGCCAATTGTTAAAACATCATCAGCTGTGACATCAGTCATGAAGTATGAAGAAACAGGCAAAAATCATCTTCCAGGCTAGGTTAACAGCTAAAAAAGGGCCCTTTGTATTGTTTTTAGGCTTATAAACTATAGGGGTGTGTTATAATACATCCATCCACATCAATATATTTATTAAATGATTAATGATTCAATGACAGCAAAGCAAAACAAAAACACTGTTCCACATTTTCATCACATGCCCGATGTGGATCAATATATTTCCATCGAGCATCGCATCAAATTGAATGCAGACTTGTGTAAGTATGTAAGGTTTAAATAAAATCACAAAGTGCTTAACAATTAAAGCAAGACAAAATTTGTCACCATCACATTCATCCAAAGTACAAGTAACAACAGAGTAGAATTTGCACATCAAAAAGACTAACAACTCAGTTAAAAGCCTGTTTGTAAAAGAAAGTGTAGGATGATTTATGAACAAAACATTGTATCGCCATCCAAACAAATAAACCTCTTTGGATGTTTACCTGCATACTGACTTTCAGAAATCTGTATTTTTTCACATAAAAAGGTACTCTCACATGATACCCCTCATGAGGAAGAGATGGTTGTGTGGGGTAGGATTGGCAGAGCAGGTACAGTCTGGTGGTGACGGCTGGGGGAACTTTGCATTTCCTTATAGGCCTGGCTCAAAAACATCATCTTATTTTGAAGCGGAGTTAATCCGTGAGATCTTTTTTTTACTATGCGTCTGGAAAATCCTTGTAATTTACAAACAATCCCCACAACATGACATGTTTGAAAGTGTGTTTGCTGAGCATAGACCATGTGGATGTTAGTGTCCTGGTGCTGCTGAATGTATCAGTCTGCTTGGAGTAGGGTAAACCTTGGACAAAATCCTGAAAAATTATTTAAAAAACAGACGTGTTTATAGCCATTAGCCTATCCTGGAGAACAGGGCTGGCCTATGGCATAGGCAACATAGGCAAACGCTATGGGTGGCACAAATGGCGGACGAAAAAAATATTTTGTAACTTTAGTTATAAAGACCCCACCCCACCCCCGAACTGCTTCAGTCCACAACTGCTCGTTACCATGAACTGGTGTGTTCTTCATTGCTGTCGGCAAATGTTTTGAGTTAGATTTCTGGTGTTCTGTTTCAAATTTCAAATTTGATATTGTTAATTATTTTAATGGGACACCCTGGTTTCTAAAGATAAAAAATAAGATCAAAGACAAAACTACCTTATTTATTCAAGTATAATACATAAAATTTAATCCATAAAATCATGCACAAAGTTGGGGGGTAGTACTATACTTGGATAAATATTTTTGCTGATGTATTTTAACTGAAATATTGGCTTCATTCACAAAATGCCTGAGTCCGGAAATGAAACCACGTCATAAAAAGCGGTTGAAGCGAGCTTACCTCTGACACTCCTTCGTGCCTCYGAGCGAGATAGTAACAGATCCAAGCTGGCAACATGATGTGAAAAAAAAAAAGGAAAGAAAAAAGACAGTCCTACAGCTTATTACTGATAATGAACTGATGATATTAATGTGCGACCGGGCCGCTCCTGGAACAACAACAAACACGTGGTYGGCTGTAATGGCTGCCGTCTACCGGTGTTCTGTAAAAGTTGGTCTACCTAAAAAAAATTCCCCACCAGAGGGGGCGCTGGTGAGACACAGAGCATGAGATTGTTGTTAAGTGGGATTCTGATGCCTTTATTACAGAGGAGGAATACCAGAAACCTTTAATGATACTGATGATGATGAGCCTGAATTTGAAGGCTTTTGATTCAGCTTCAGCCACACTTGTTAGAGCCACATAGCTCTGTTTGTTTGTTATATCACACCAGTTGACAAATGAGCATTAATAGTTATTGTTGTAGTTATACGTTTGTTGTTGTGTACCTTTTAGTACATACTGTATGTTGTTAACATAAAATTAAAAACTGATGCAATGGCCAAATGATAATTTTACTGATGTATGTAAAGACTGCAAAGGCTGAAAAATCCTGAAGTCCATATGAAATTAGAAGTAGTATGAGAATTAAAATTTTTATGCTTTTTAAGATAAAAATGGGGGGGGGGGATCCTATTGTACATGAGATCGTATTATACATGAATAAATATGGTATTTGGTATGTGAATGTATGTAAACTGACAGTGAAATTTAGAAACCTGCACAAGGGATGCCACCTGAAATCTTGCCTAGGGTGTCAAACTGGCTAGGTCTTGCTCTGCTGGAGGAAAACATCTGCATTTTTCTTCATACTCCAGACATCAAGAACATCCCTTCAAAGATGAGCACATTATTCCTTTAAGGGTATTGTATTGTGCAACCCATGGTGTTGTGTGGAAAAATGAAAAGGAATCAGGAACACCCAAAGGCCAGGCGCGGGCCCAGAGTCAGTGTCAGTGATGAGGTTCTGCACTTACACAGCACAGCTGCTGGTGAAGAAAGCTCGAAGAAAGGCAGCAAGCTGCTTTCTTTGACTTGTAAGAGATGTTTTATCTGGAAATAACACACTGATACGTTTTGACTGGCAGGAAAAATAGATGTTTTATTATTATTATTTTTTGCCTCATTGCACTTCATGTAACCAGAACATGTCACTCAGAGACTGGGCCGCTCAGGCCTGCAACAACAGAGTGAACAAGTTGTAAAAGACTGAAAAAAGGTCTGTGATAACCTTCAGGTGAATTTGTTTATCTCTGTCAAACATGAGTTTTGCTTGAACAGCTGAAATGATCGCACTTTTATTTTTATATCAAGAAATTATTTGCAAAAAAAAAAAAAACCTAAATGGCTTTTTGAGCGTTGAGGGACATGTTTAAAGTACTATTGTGGAAAATGGTGCCGCACTTCTAGATGAGTCATGATAATTTTGTATCATTTACACATATGCCAAAACACAGTAAAAGTGGTCATGTTCTTCCTCAGAGACTGATAGAAGAAAGGTCAAACCAAGGGTTGAAAAACAGACAGAAAAATATTAGAGCAAATATGGACAAAGTCTTCCACACAGAGTTGTAAAGTAACTAATTACAAATACTTTGCTAATGTACTTAAGTAGAAATTTTGGCTATCTGTACTTAACTTGAGTAATTATTTTTCAGCCTACTTTTTACTTCTACTCCTTACATTTTTACACAGTTTTCTCTACTTTCTATTCATTACATTTTAATAAAAGATAAGAAGTAGAAAGTTGTTACTTTTATTTCATTATGGCTTGTTGTTGTTAAAAAAGTATAATCCTGATGAACTGTACCTCCTGGAAAGAAGAAATTTAATTGTGGTTGAATGAAAATTATACATTTAAACCATTCTGATGCTGTATTAGTTTGTACACAATCCATCACAGCTGCAAAGGACAGAAATCATGTCACACTCCAGCAGGAAATAGCAGTTATTTTGTATGTCTACGAAGATGTCTGTGGCATATTTATACATATACATACATACAGTGTATATTTATTTGATACAGTATGATGTCACAAAGACA